TGATAGAAAAGGTGACTTATAACCATTTTTCACACTTACAGCCATCACAGCATCCCCACGGTCACATGATCAAAACTGGGACTCAGATCCACTACCATGGAGGGCTTTATGGGTGGTAAGTAGCACATTGACGTTGCTTGTCACAAAAGCTGGGATCTCATGGCCCCAGATACTGCAACCATTCTAAATATGAGTCAGTGGCCAAGAGTCCCAGTTTTGATCATGTGACCGTGGGGATGCTGTGATGGCTGTAAGTGTGAAAAATGGTTATAAGTCACCTTTTCTATCATAGTTTCTATCCTTGGGCATCAGACTCCTAAACACAACCACAATAACTCCACACACACGCGGAAATGTATGACTGTTTTTTTTCTTTTTCCCTAATTACTTGCATTGGGATTATTCCTTATACTATTTATGTTGTTTGTATTTGTTGTCATGGATTGCACCAGTGAGGCTAAAACCAATTTCGTTGTATTTATTTTGTACAATGACAATAAATACTATACTATAAAAGAGATCAGTCCATTTGATCAATTCAACTGTTAAACCATACTTTTGATGGGTTCTGACTTTAGACTCCAAACTGAATAAAGGCATTTGGGTGGAGGCTCAATTCAAGATGGTGGCTGCCACTACATGGAGCAGATTCAATCATGCCATCTTGACTTTTTGACGCTTCCTCCCAAGTCTTGAACAATTGTTCATGTTGTTACATGTTAAACAATGTGTTTCTCGAGAAAATGTACAGCCATTGGTTTAAGTTAAGCCCTCTGTTAATTATAAGTTATAACCTCTTTAAGGAAAAAGTCTGCTTGTGCTGGGGAAGAGATAAAGAAAAAGAGAAATAAGAGTAAGCAGTCAGTGCATTACGGTAGAGACTAATTTTAGTCTGTGAAGTTTTCTTCTGATTACCTTTTATTTAACAGATGCTTAAGTGTCCAGTCAAGTTCTTCATCCCATTTGCTCAGATTGTATGGTATTAGAGCCACACCTCCATTTTACAACCAATGATCATGCTTCGCATTGTAATTTGATAAAAATGACTCTACTACTGTATGCGTCTTGCAAGTGAGCTTGCAAATATTTTGACCGGTCTCTCTTCCTTTATTCTTCATTGCAACTTCATTAAACTGCCAACAAGGCTGTTATCTTCATGTGGCAGATACTTTTGCGTAGTCTTTTGTTATTTTCCTGAAGAAGCTCTATCCAAAAAATGTCAAATTTTTCTTTCCCATCTCAACTGACCAGGTATTTTATTTTTTATATACACATATGCACAGCCTAATAATAATTAACTAGTTAGCTGTACAATTATCAGCTTTCTTAGACCAAATCCTTTTGGGACTCATGCTATATATGGAACTAAATTTTTATATTCTAGTATTGATTTATGATTAGCACGACTGTGTTTTAAGTTAAATTCTTCCCGACTCCCCATGGGTAACAAAGTCGCCTCCGGGACGTTGCCTTGTTGAGGACCAACGCTACGGTGAGCAAAAGGCAAGACAAAAATTCAAACTCATCACCTGTTGAGGGCCTCCGCGAGAAAGAGAGAGAGAGAGGGAGACTGGGGGGCTATTTCAGCCACAGCGGAGGGAGCCAACAGCCGCCTTTGAAAGCGCCGCTGCCCATTGGCTTGCTGAGGCGAACCTCGACTAAGATATCTGGGCGGGGGGCTTATTGGAATGTAATTGCCTTTCGAAAAGAACTTTCTGCTGCCCGGGGAAGGGGGCCGTCGGGTAGTTTTTTGAGCTGAAAGTTTTTAAGCTTTCTGAATCAAAAGCTTGGGGCAAGAGCTTGAGTGTAGGCAGCGGTAATGGAGAAAGCTGAGAACCCGAAATCGGAGCCGCTCTTGGTCTGTCCGACAAGCAGCAATCCGAGGAAGGGTAAGTAACTAAACCGCCTGAAGCTTGTCTCTCGGTGGCTGCGTTTTTCTTAATCTTCGTAAGAGTATCTGGAGCAGATGCTTAATTTATCTGCGGTTGTCTGTGCCTTTTGTCTTGGGGAAGAATCTACCTTTCTGGAAGGCAAAATAATACCCTGTTTTGAAAATCCCAAAGTAATCCGAAGCGAGGGGGGGAGGTGTCCGTCTCCCATCAGAGGGTTCTATTAATTTTTAATTGGAAATCGAAATCCTGTCCTTTACTGTCCGGGAAGGTGGCCGATTGGTGTTCGTATTCTTGCGTCCAGTGAAATCGCTCAAAATTTATCTCCCACCGCATGGAACGCGCGTTTGTCTTGGACTGTAGCCATAAGTTGTGAACGCGGCTTTCACGTCGTGAGGTCAGACTTGGTGTGTTCGCTTGGTCTCCAGTGTTTTACGCTTTAGCATCAAATGTTCTATAGCAGAACACGTGACTAACCTAAATGCACTACTTTATGGGAGTTTCTTAAGGTATGTTTCCTTTGCGTAGATTATTTGGGGAAATTAGAATACAGGTTCAGTTACTGTATTTGAGATTTTTCCAGGTCCCTGCAGATTTTATTATCTCCCCTTAGGGAGATTTCACTGAAGATGAAACATTATTTGTCTTGACTGAATAAATGTAAGTGCTTTTTAAGGTGTGTGTGTGTGCGTGTGCGCACACACGCATGCACACACACACACACGTTAGAAATGATTCCCAGTGTATTGGGTGGGATGTTAGATATTTTTCATTTATTGAAACTGCAGTCTGTTCTGTTGCCTGCTAATTTTCTATTTTTCTTTTGCTGCCCTTTCTGCTTTATTATGTTGATATAGTGTTCCTTTAACATTTTTCTTTACTCATATGTGTATATTTATATTCTCAAGGATGAAAGTGGCGTAAAATGTTTTAATAAAATTATTTCTTGCTAATTTAGTTTCTTTGAACTGGTACACTGATGACACATGTAAACACATCTGTATAGGCTCACACAGGTAGGTATATGCATGGTTGCATACAGCCACAGGTATATATCTTGGAAGGTCAATGGAGCCTCTGGATATACTAGAATGTTTTGGAATTCTTAGCCTGGCAATTCAAGTTTTATAGTAGGAATCATTTACATGATTAATGTATGTCATGTTTAATACATTATATGAATGCAGCACAATTCTCAGTGTTGGTAGGTTGCCTTTTTCAGTTAAGAATTGCATTTACTCTTAGGAAATCCAGCCAGAGGTCATAGGGGAGTAGTGGTGGGGCCTGAGACAGAAATGGGTAGAGTAACCCTTTCTTCTCCTTTCTTTTTGCCACCTTAGACAGAGTTCTTGTGTCCCCCCCCCCCCCAACCAATGGACAGTCAATGAGAGGAGAGATCTCCAGTAATTTGAGCTGATCACTGCCAGGGCTCTTTGGAAATTAACCTGAAGATAGCATGAAAGTCCAAATACTACAGGGTACCCACCCTTGCTATATGTAAACTATGAATAAACCTTTCCAAAACTCTGCTGGATGATATAGGAACACTGGGTGGAAACTTACTGCCATTTCACTACCATACTTAGGAGCAAGATTTTCAACTTGATTAAAAATGAACCAAGAGAAAAATTACTAGTTTATGGGATAAGATATATCGCCCTTCAGAGTAAATAAAGATGATATATCTACTTACCTTCATGGATAAGTAGTAAACAAACTTCTGCTTAAATCTATTAAGTCTGGCAAGGAGCTAAATTTTATATTTTAGAATATTACTATCTTTTCAGATATAGCTCAAAGAATTCCCAAGGTAACGACAAGTAGCATTTCGAGGTATAAAGCTATTGGAATATGCAATAGATTTGAATATAACTGTGTTGAAAAATAATCTCAAAACAATCAGATTTTTTATCCCTAAAATAGAAGAGAATTGAATCTTCAAGACCATCATAGGGGCATAAATAATGCCTATACATTTGCATAATCATATCAATGTCATATTTTCTTGGTCTACTGCTTTGTAAAATTGCAAGGCTGAATAATTTTGGGAAGTATTTGATCTAATTGATGCATACATGCCCAGAAACTGAAAATGAATGAGACTTCCTGTATTTGTGCAGGTCATTGATAGTGGCAGACAAAGTGACTCCAGCAGAATTAGGAGTTGACTCAGAGTTTTTCATTATTCACTTTTAGAAAAAAGCATGTCTGTTTTCTCAAGCATTTTCTTCTAGGTCATAAAGCAGCAAATAGAAGCTGGAAGAAGCTATGTCTAAGCACATAGTTGCATTGTCCCCTGGGAGGTACAGTTTGTCTATATCTGCCTTGTATGTTCTTCACCAGCCATCATGGGGAACCACCTGGGAGCTCAACTGTCCTTCTCTCTGCAAACAGCATTACCCAGAATCACGGGAATTAATCAGCTGTACCCACCTGCTCTGTCTGCCATAGCTGCATAATGCACAACCTGCACAATGTACCCCTACTGGGTACCCCTACTGGGGTACATTGTCTGTAGTATAAGTCTAATCTCCTATATCAGTGATGGCAAACCTTTTTGTAAAGGAGTGTCAAAATAGTGTGCCCACAATGCAATGCGCCCACCCACCTGTGTATACACATGTGCCCCCCCATGCATGCGCGCATGACCCAGACCCACACATGTGGAGTTTTTGGCCCTTCCCAGGCTCTGGAGGCTTTCCTGAAGCCTGGGGAGGGCAAAAAATGGGCCCAACAGGCCAACCGGAAGAATGAACTTCTGATTGGCCCATTGGGCCCATTTTTCGCCCTCCTCAGGCTTTGGAGGCTTTCCTAAAGCCTGGGGAAGGTTAAAATGGCCTCCCCATGCCCTTTGGAAGGCCTAAAATCAGCTGGCCAGTATGCACTTGTATGCCAGAACTGACAGCTCACACGCCATCAAATATGGCTACGTGTGCCAACTGTAGTTGCTATTGATATTCTTTAGACTTCTTGTATATCCTGATTTTATTTACACACACACAAACACACAGAAAGGGAGGGAGGGGGAGAGAGTTGTAAAGCAAAGCAACAGCTATTAGCTTCATCTTAATTTAGAAGCATGTATCTGAATTCTACATTAGATACCAAAACTACTCCAAAAAATAATAATGAATTGATATATCAAGACTGGCAGTTGTTCCAATCTAGTAAGGAAAAACCTGGGTTTGCTCCGGCAAAAATCAGTTTTCAAGAATTAATCCCCTTTCATTTTTCTCGAGACCCGCATTATAGCATTGTTTTCATATATATACACATTTATTTATTAAACACATTTATATAGCAGTGGGGGCGGGCAAGGATAGTTGATGCGCAAAATATACATTGCAACGCTTATTGCAAAGCCTCTCAACTATCAAACGACAACCTGGCCTTCACGTGGTGCCCCCCGTTCCCACCAATCGGGCTCTGTCGACCCTTGGGACTGGCGTCCCCTTGGGTATATCCAGCCGAAACAGCTTCGATGGATCGCTGTATCTACAGTGGCGTCAAATTTCCATGGAAGTCGCCTATACCCACGATGGGTGAAGAGGCGTCAAGTACAAGTACAAGTAATATAGCAGTGGGGGAGGGGTAGAGGCATAGAACATTAAAAGTCCATAGTTAAAAAATTCACAATTTAAACCACCCATCCCAATCCCAGGCAGCAGCAGCAGCAACAACAACACAATCAAATAAGCCATTTGATTGGGACTGAATGGCTACTGATAAAACCATGCCCTGCCTTCCTGATCTGATGGGCCATGTAGAAATAATTGGAGTTGGCAGTCCCTCAAAAAACTGCCTTGACATCTGAAATGATAAGACATAATTGTCATTGTGGAAGGTAAATTACACTCTACAAAATAGTGCATAGCATAGCTGATAGAGATAACTATGGGAGTTGTGCAGGCTGGGTAACAGTAAAGAAGTAGGTAATCCCAGCAGCTGTTGTTTATGGACGAATTTCCTGGGTTGTGGACAAAAACATTCCCAATCTTATTCAACAACAATTTAGGTGATAGTGCAGAAACTTCCCGGGGGATCCTTCTGTTAATGTAAATGTTTAATACTAAAATATCAAAATCCAAAGTGTATGCAAATTACCATATATGGAGAACCATGAAGATTAGCATTTTACAGAGGCTGCTGGCAATGGAGTTAATGATTTCTACAGCTGCAAATCATAGAGAAAAGTTTCATAAAATAATTGCTGTGATAAAGTAGATGAGAGACTAAGCTCTACTCAGTACGTCCGTCAATTCAGATCTCTCCATTGCTACAAACTCAATAGATGGCCTTGCGCAAGCTCCTGGCTAGACTCAAATGCTACTAAGGCAGTTTTCCCTACCAGTTCTTTTTTCTTGATGTAAGGGTTCATATCTCAAAAGTGTGTCCTGGTTCAGCATAGACTGAGCAATCTGGAAAATGGATTAGGAAGGTACCAAGTTTATATGGTCCCAATAAGTTCAGTGGATTGAAAACCTGGTGTTGTTTATAACTGATGAACAGATGCGGAAATATATGTAGATGATTATTAATGGATTATCTGAAATTATATATGCATCTGCATGCAAGAGAAACCCATGTATATATGTAGTATGTATGTGTATAAATTATTTGTTGGTTCTCCCGCGCTTTTGTTCTTTCTCTATTTTTTTCTTTTTGTGTTCTGTTTAATTAAGCAAATATTTTTTTTAAAAAAGGAATTTATCAGATTATAAAAAACTGTTATTATAAGGCAATTTTTTTGTAGCACACATAAGCAAAAGGCTGATGGAAAATTTTGTCCTGGTTTTATCTTTTTACGCTTTCTGTGGTTTATTTAACAGGAAATCGGTCCTTAAACAACGTAGGGCTCGGAATACAAGAACAAATCATGGCTTTAAGTTCTAGGATTATAAATTGTTTGTTTCTAAACTAGATAGATGTGATTAGAAATTATACTAAGCAAAGCACACAAAAACCTTAGTTTTCATTTGGAAAGAGGAACTAAGTAGGACAAGCAGCCAAGTATCAATCAGAATTCTGACTTAGTTTGACAGGGATGTGATACTTGAAATTTTAGAATATTGCTAGGAGCATATAATAATTATGAGTTATGCCCCGTTTTTCTCAGGAGCAAAAGGAAGTGTATCCCTTACTTTAATTTCCCCTATTTAATCTCTGCAATGGTTAACAGGTGAGATAGATGAGGCTGAGAGAAAGTAATCTACTGAGTTTTAATAATTCAGGGTGAACTTGAGTTTCCCTGATCTTAGACCAAACCATCTTACTATTATGCTACATGGTTCCAGTTTGAACTTACATTGCTCAAAACAATCAAAATTGTTGTAAATACAAAGAAAACAAAGCATATAAAAGCAATACTTCCAAATGAGTATGCATATAACCAGCATTCCTTTAGCAGTAGAAGAGCTTTCTGCATGTAAACAGAGCATATTTCTGGTAGTGGACTGGAACTATGCACAAAATTTCTTATAGGCATTGAGACTTTCAGAGGAGGCCTTGTAATGATACAATGTGGCTTCATCCGAATAGTTTTGAAGCTTTGCACAGGCCTAACACTTACATCATGAAAGCGAATCCCACAGAAATAAGTAAGGCGATCTTCTGAAAAAAACAAATAAGTAAAAGATCACACTATTGCACTTGGAATTGTGGTTTTGGATAGTCTGCTTAAAGTTCATTCAAACAAATTGAAACATTGGACAACCAATGTCTTTAATTCTGTATATAGCAATAGCAATAGCACTTAGACTTATATACCACTTCACAGTGGTTTCTAAGCCCTCTCTAAGTGGTTACAGAGTCATCATATTGCCCCCAACAATCTGGGTTAAATACTGTATTTGCTCTTAAATAGCAAAGTTGAGAGAAGAGGTTTACTTTCAAGTAAACATAAAAGTTGAAATGCTACACAATATGTTAATTGAAAAAGGAAATTTAAAATAAGTAATAACAACAAATAAAGTTATAAACAAAATTGGGAAACTTTTTAGAAGGATTGTATTCTTTAATTTACTCTCCACTATTCATTTCTTCAATCTTCATTTTTCTTATAACTAAACCCAAGAGTTTAGTTACTCAATTATCTGGCAGATCCCCCCCTTCTTTTAATTGCTTCTGATTCTGATAAGTAAAACAGATGAGTTTCGGGATGTTCTAGGTAGGTTTTTTCAGAACTGGTCTGCCATTGCCTCCTTCCTAGGGCTGAGAGGAAGTGATTAACCCAGGTTCATCCAGTTGAATTTTGCCTAAGATCGAATTGAAACTCACAACTTTCCCATTTTCTAACCCAATGCCTTCACTACCTCACTACTCTGTTACCTGCAGATAAGTTGACTCTAATGTCCAGTCTACTGCAGTGTCCATTTCAGGGTTGTCTATAATGCACAAGCCTCAAATTTTCTTGCTTTCCTCTATCCCCCATATATATTTTCCTATCACATAGACTTGCTTTTATTTCATTTCTCAAAATAATGGTTTATTGAAAAAGTGACACTATATTTTCCAGTCTGCTGTCTCAGAGAGGCATAACATCCAAGCAAGATCCATGAAATTTAAAACCAAGGCTGTAGTCTGAAAATTAGGAGTGAGAAGAACTGGATGCACAAAAAGGAGAAGTGCTTTTCTCATTACTTCACAGAACTTTCGGAACACATTGAAAACATGCTGAAGAAAGATTAAAGATTTCAATTCCACTTTTTGGGGAAAAATATAAGTCAAGATTGTAGGGAAACTAATAATAGCCCCATTATTAAAAAAAAATACTGCAGTGTTATGATGGGAAAAAATCCTTTTTTCCAAAAAATGTTCTGATTTTAAAGCTTAAAGAAGAAAGTTATTTTTCATCCACTACAGTACTTTAGAGAATAGGATTTCCTTAATGAACCATATTCTATGTGGCCTTATGTATTATTTTATATCACTAATGGCAGCTATCTTTTTAGTGTTACTTTTCCAAAATACCACATTTTGTTAGTTCTTGAATTGAAGCAACTTTGTCTGAAACATTTTTAAGAACTGGATTATATAATTCCATTCATCTATGTGGTGTTTAAGATATCTTTCTTTCTTTGTTTTTTATTCACAGATCTGGGAAAAAGAAATGTGCATGGAGCTTCATTAGATGATACAGATTGTCTGTGGCCTAAAGAATTCATTACTTCTGCAAATAGGCAATCTACCCATTCCAAGGTGGGTCGCCATATTCCTCGAAGACATACTGTAGGTGGCCCTCGGAGTTCCCAAGAAATTTTGGGAATGCAACCTTCTGATATGGACAAAAAAAGAGAAGCGTTTCTGGAGCATCTGAAACAGAAATATCCCCATCATGCATCTGCAATCATGGGTCACCAAGAAAGACTGAGAGATCAGGTATGAAATGATATAGTTTAGATCTAAAATAGTGTGCAGCTTTATCTCATACACACTTTCACTCTAGTGCCTCAGGGAGTATGAATGTACATGGCCCTGAATTGTATAAAGTAAAGGTGGAATATAGATCTAATAATAACCAATAAAATAATCATTTCTAAGGATTCTGGGAATTGTAATTCCAGCTGTTTAGTGGACATCCAAATTAGTCTTGTAGGATTACCTGTCAGGAAGCTAGGTTACATCTGTTTATAATTAAGCTTGGTGACACTAGTGCAGTACGCTAACATCTTTTTCAAATGATAGATATTTGTTTTTATTTTTGTGGACATTTTCTGTCTGCTTTGATGAAGATACGCTCATTGAAATGATGCCTTTGTGCTTGTGGAAATTTGTGCTTGTGGAAATTCACTAGGCATGCATGTAAAAAAATGGCATATTCCCAGAGCAGAACCAAGAAGAATTGTTAATAGTTAATTGCACAATCAATTATCATTTGTAGCTGTGTTTTTATATGAGCTGATTTTACTTTGTAAGCTCAACAGTTATTCTTGATGACTGGAATTTATGTGATTATAACTGGATTTGGACCCAAGGTTCTTAAGCAGCTCAAATTTAAACATGTGATAGTTTCAGATCATGCAAAGGATTGCTAAAGTGCCAATTGTTGTTAGGTTCTGCTCTTTCTATTATTCAACCTTTCAGAAAAATGCAAAGCTAAGGCATATTTCCATAGCTGATCCCACAAATGCTTTGGCATCTAGAATGTGTCACTTATGAACAATGTTACTAAAAATAAATAGTGGAATAGCCAAGTAGAAAAGCATTCATATTGAATCGAAGATTCACTTCCTAATGAATGCAGTTTAAAATATATTGTCTAGAAATATATGTATCATTTGTTTTGTAAAAATATGATGATGTTGGTAAAATGAAATGTACACTAAAAAATTTAAGTTTTAGGATATAATTTACTCAAATTTCTGATACTGCTACAGGTGTGATGATGGGAAAAGAGCTTGGAGACATTCAGCAAGAATATCAGGAGGGCTTCACAGATTGATTTTTATAATCTATTAGCCACTTTTGAGCATCAGTAATATTAATACATCTATCTAGAGCATTTTGCTGCTTGATTACCCTCTGATTCTCTTTTTCTCCTTTGCCCAAGATGGATAATGACATAATGCCATCTGGATTTTCTGGAAAAAATGATCAAGAGTTCACAAACTAAAAATAGGTTACATCAAATGTATACAAATAGATTGGTGCAGCTGGCTGCCTAGCTAAAGGGAGGAAGCCAGTAGTAAGCTCCTCCCAAGTTATTTGCTGAAATAATGCCACAATTGGGGAAGAGGCAATCAATGCAAGCCCTGGACAATTGTCTGACTTGCTTATTCCTGCTACCTCTAGTGGAAAATAGAAATATACATGCTGCTTGACGTATCTCCATGATATAAAGTCAGTTGGGGTTGATTTCACAAATAGAATCTAGGAAGTAACCATCTGGTTCAGGTGTATATGCTTTGAACTGTTCATGTTGATTTTACTTAGTTTTTAACTGCTGGAGGTCCTATCTGCTGAAATATTTCAGGAGATCAGATCGATAGGATATGAATTGGGTGAGTGGGCAACTGTACTTAGTCTCTGGTCAACTCTATGGGCCAGTGATTTTGTCCCTAGTCCCTAAAGAATTTGTGTAGCTGGATTTACTTATATGATACTGGTGAATTTGGTGGATTTGAAAGTGTAACCTAAATAATAACTCAATATGAAACAAAATGGCAAGACAAATTGCTTGGGGACTAGGATGTTATCTGAAACTACTTGTAGGAATTTAGTTGGGTGTTAGAATATTTGTCTAATTTCTTGTTTTGTTGCTTTCTTTCTACAAGACAAAGCCAATACCTTAAGGAAAACAATGTTCCAGATGTAGATATTATCACTCCCTCGCTTTCTACCATTTCATACTATGTTAGTGTTTGTTTTCAAGTCTAATTCCAGTGATGCTTTAAAGGCAAATGGGGGGCTGAGAAGCATTCTTTAAAATAAGAATTAAAATATAAATTGATGCTGGGCTTTGCTATATTCCCATATCTTTTTAATTAAAAAAATCTAAGTTTAATAAAAATCCTTCATCAAATCCCAATGTGCTTCCTTATCATTGAAAAGGGATGAAAAGGGAAAGGGGTAGTGCAGTGTTGATGAATGCGGGGGTGAGGAAGTGCGAGAAACTGAAAGAGCAGTTCCCCAATGCACGTGCCGGGAAGCTGAGCTTCCAGTTTCCTGTGTGTGCATGCCAGCCAGTCACCTTCCGGTTTCTGGTGCCCCCACACGTGGAGACCAGCTGGCTGGCACACATGTGCATGCCGGAACACAGAAGAGCAATTGGCAATGGCTGGTGTGCCTGGAGAGATGGCTCTGGGTGCCACTTCCACCATGTGTGCCATAGGTTCACCATCATGGGGGTAGGGTATGTAACGTGCTATGAGAATAACTTTGGCAGATAGAAGGAAAAGTCACAGTCTGGACAATGGTCTCATAAGAGAAACCTGAGTCCAAAGGATGGATGGGGATGGAGAAAACATCTCAGAAGGAATTCTGCCTAGTTCTCAGGAAAGTAAAGGTAGAGGAGGGAGGGAGGAAGTGCATTCTGATTTGCAGCATTCTGCTACTGTAACCTTACAATAAGGGTAGCATTAGTAGTCGGCAAGGTTTTGGTTTCCTGCCTAGACTACTTTGTAGGACTGTCAGTATATGACAGGGCTATATATTCCCAGCTGCTTAGCTAAAGCAAGCTGGAATCAGTAGCAGGCAGCTGCAATATAGTAAGATGGTAGAGGCAGATGATTGCTTTAATGACAATGGCAAAGGCATCTATTTCATACTGGGAGGGAGAAAGTAATGGCAATTACCCCAATATTTTATCAAGAAAATTATCCTGGAGAAAATCTATGGTTCCTACAAATCGATATTAATTGATAGCAGATAATAAATCAGTAATGAAATTGAGTGAGATGTGAGTCTGAATGGATACCAAGGAGGTACAGATAGTCCTCACTTACCAATGTACAGGTAGTCTCAATGGTCACAACTGAGACCAGAATTTCGATTGTTAAGCAAAGCACTTGCTAAATGAGTTGTGCCTAATTTTACAACAGTTTTGCCAGAGTTGTCAAGCAAATCACCACAGTTGACTAGTGAGTTAAATGGTTGTTAAGCAAATTTGGCTTTCTCATGGACTTTGTTTGTTGGAAGCTGACTGGGAAGGTTGCAAATGGCAATCCCGTCACCCCAGATTGTTGCACCTTTTGTAAATACATGCTAGTTGCCAAGTGCCTGAATTTTGATTATGTGACTGTGTGGATTCTTCATAGATTATAATTGTGAGGACTGTTGTAAAGTCAGTTTTGAATGGTGGCTACATGAATGATTGTAGGTTGATTTCCCATAAGAATGGGAAATCCATTGCTAAGTGATGTGGTCCAAAGGAGTGATGTCATATGTCTATGTCAACTTACAATGGCAGCTCCAACAGTCTCTGTTGCCATTGTTAGAAGAATCCTGCATAGTTACAGTGTTCCATGATTATATGATCTCCATCTGCAACATCTAAACTCCTTCTGGCTTTGCCATTAACCTTGCTTGTCAGAAACTGGCAGTGAAGATCGCAAACAGCAATCACGTGACCATGGGAAGCTGTGACATTGTAATTGCAAGTGTTTGCCAAGAACCCAAATCGCGACGGTGTGACCACGGGGTTACCATATGAGGACTTGCTCAGTGCCATACTAGCTTTGAACAGTTACTGAACAAGTGAACATTAAATGAGGACCACCTGTATTTGTAGGTGTATTAGTGTCTGGAAGTCATAGGTTGGGGATTCAAATATGAAGCCTTAAACTAGCATAAATACTCATGATGAAATTTGTGTAATCTATTAAAGCCAAACCTGCCCATTATGGCTTAGGGCAGTGATGGCTAACCTTTTCGGTGCCGAGTGCGCCAAGCATTCATGCAGAACCCCAAAATGCAACGTTGAGCACCCATGCACATGCAGCGCATCCCACACACCTCTGCCCTGCTCACCCTCACATCCAGTTTCAGCTTCCAGCTTGGTGTCCAGCTTGGTTCACGCCCAAAATGGGACATGGGGGGACACACATGCATGAACCCCCAAAATGCAACATGAGTGTCCTCTGCCCATGCATTCCATCTCCCGTAATGCGCAGCAGAGACCCGAAGACCAACTGGCTGATGGGAGGCACATGCACGATGGAGATGGGCTGGGGCGATGGCTGGCATGTCCACAGAGAGGGCTCTGCGTGCCACCTGCGGCATGCATACCATAGGTTCACCATCACAGGCTTAGGGTCTAATTATGCTAGTATCCTTACATTCTTACAGAGGATATAAGGAAACGGTTGTGTACCTATCTTTATGAAAAGTGAGTAAACTATATCTTACATTTGTGTGTGAGTGTGTGTGCTGGTGTGTGTTGGTGGTTAAACACAGTTGATTTTTTGCATAGGAAGTTTTCACATGATGTGGGAAACAATAATGTTTCCCTGTAGCTGTGATTTAGCATATAAAATTGCTCTCAAAAGTTCTGATTTCTGTGTAATTTCTGGAAACACTTTCTGCTGCTTTTGTCTTTCTTTTCTTCTTAACAGTTTCCAAGCCTCAGATTTTTCCACTGATATTTTATTGATTGTGCTTGCTGTTTGTGTAATGAACTACAGTATATTCAGAGATACTGCAGGGTGGTAACTGAAGATAATTTAGATTTTTTTTTTCTTAGATTAGATATTTCCTGAGTCATGTAAATATTTAGCTTCAGCATAGAAGATATTTGCAAGCTAAGCTTTGAACAGATATCTGTAGGAACACTCTTTGAATTATTTAACTCCAAACCCAGTGTTTTACAGAAGGAATGCAGTAAATTGTATCTGTTGTTTATTTTTTTTGTTAGATTGCCATATTTGCTAATTTATTAAAAT